TATCAAATCTAAGAGGTTTTTGGTGGAATCTTTAGGGTTTTATAAATATAAGATTGCATCATCAGCAAACAGCAATAATTTAATTTCCTCTGTTCCAATTTGGATGCTTTTATTTTTCTCTCTTGCCTGATTGCTCTGGCTAGGACTTCCAGTACTATGTTGAATAGGAGTGGTCAAAGTGGGTATTCTTATCTTGTTTCAGTTCTTACAGGGGGTTCTCCCCGTTAAGTATGATGTTGGCTGTGGGTCTGTCATGTATGGCCTTTATTATTTTGAGTTATGTCATTTACATGCCTAGTTTGTTGAGGGAGTTTGTTTCTCATGAAGGGATGCTGAATTTTGTCAAATGCTTTCTCTGCATCTATTGGGATGATCATATAGTTTTGTACTTCATTCTGTTTATTCATTTGTGTGTGTTGAACCATCCTTCCATACCTAGTATAAAACTCACTTGGTGATGATGCATTATCTTTTCAATGTACTGTTGGATTTGGTTTGATGATATTTTGTTGAGAATTTTTGCATCTATGTTCATTAGGGATACTGTTCTGTAGTTTTGTTTTTTTGTTGTGTCCTTGTCTGCTTTTTTTGTATCAAGGTGATACTGGCCTTATAGAATGAGTTAGGGAGAATTCCCTCTCCTTTGATTTTTGGAAGTTTCAGGAAGATTTATATTATTTCTTTTTTGTATGTTTGGTGGAACTCAGCTGTGAATTCATCTGTTCCTGAGATTTTTTTGTTGGGAGACTTTTTTTATTACTGATTCAATCTCACTATTCATTATTGGTCTCTTTAGGAGTCCTGTTTCTTCCTGGTTTAATTTCTGAGGTTATATGTTTCTAGAAATTTATTCATTTCCTCTAGGCTTGCTAGTTTGTAAGCATATATCTGTTCATAACAGTCTCTGATGATCTTTTGTATGTTTATGGTATCAGTTGCAATGAATGTCCCCTTTTTATTTCTCATTGTGTTTAATTTGAAACTTATTTCTTATTTTCTTGGTTAGTTTAGCTAGTTAGTGATTTATTAATTTTGCTTATCTTTCTGAAGAACCAACTTTTCATTTCATTGATCCTTTGCATTGATTTTGGTCTCTATTTCATTTAGTTTTGCTCTGACTTTTTTATTTCTTTTCTTCTACTAACTTTGGGTTTATTTTTTTTCTTGGTTTTCTAGTTCTTTGGGGTATAATTTTAGATTGTTAATTTGTCATCTTTCTACTTTTTTTGATGTAGGCATTTAATGCTATAAACTTCCCTCTTAGCACTGCTTTTTCTGTATCTCACAGGTTTGGATATGTTGTGTTTTCATTTTCATTTTTTTCAAAACATTTTTTACTTTCTGTTTTAATTTCTTCGCTGATGCAATGATTCTTCAGAAGCATGTTGTTTAATTTCCATGTATTTTTATAGTTTTCAAAGTTCCTCTTCTTATTGATTTCAAGTTTTATTCCATTATGGTCCAAGAAGATACTTGGTATGATTTCAATGTTTTAAAATTTGTTAAGACTTGTTTTGTGGCCTAAAATGTGATATATTTGGGGAATATTCTATGAGAAAAATGGAATGTTCTGATGAGAAAAAAATGTGAATTCTATAGTTATTGGGTAAAATGTTCCTTGTCAGTTAAGTCCATTTGTTCTAAAGTCAATTTTAAGTCTAATATTTCTTTGTTTATTTTATATCTTGATGATCTGTCTACTCTTGCAAATGGGGTCCCTCACTAATACTGTATTGCTTTCTATCTCTATCTTTAGGTCTAGTAACACTTGTTTTGTGCATCTGGGCCCTCTGATTATGGGTGCATATATATTTAGGATTGTTCTATCCTCTGCTGAATTGATCCCTTTATCATTATATAATGATTTTCTCTCTGTCTTTTTCTTACTATTTTTGATTTAAATTGTGTTTTATCTGAGATAAGTATAGCTACTCCTGTTTGCTTTTGGTTTCCAATTGTGTGGAATGTCTTTTTCCACCCCTTTACTTTCTGTCTATGTGTCTTTATGGGTAAAGTGAGTTTCTTGTAAGCACCATATAGTTGAATCATGTTTTTTTTTAATCCATTCTTCCAATCTATATCTTTTAAATGCAGCATTTAATTCATTACATTTAAGGTTAATACTGATATGTAATGCTTTGTTCCTGTCATATTGTTAATTGTTTTCTAGTTGTTTTTTAAATTTTTTGTTTCTTTTTCTCTTTTTTTCTTTGTGGTTTGGTGAAATTCTGTCATGTTTCCATTTGACCCCTTTCTCTTCTTCCTTTGTGTGATTGTTTTATAAGACCTGTGAGTTTTATATTTTTGTGTGTTTTCATGATGAGAAGTATTGATCTTCTGTTTTTTATGTTTTATGTTTTATGTTTATGTTTTATGTTTTATGTTTAAGATCCCTTTGAGCATTTCTTATAGGACTGGTCTAGTGGTAACAAATTCTATCAGCATTTGCTTATCTGTAAAAAAACTTTACTTCTCCTTTATTTATGAAGCTTATTATGGCAGAATATGAAATCTTGTCTGCCAGTTTTTTTTTCTTTAGCACTTTAAATATGCCATCCCCTTCTCTTCTGTTCTATACAGTTTCTACTGAGAAGTCCACTGTTAGTCTGATAAGAGTTCCCTGCACAGGTGACTAGATGCATTTCTATTGCTAATTTTAAAATTCTTTCTTTTACTTTCATTTTAGACATTCTTGTTATAATATGCTGAAATGAAGTACTTTCTATAATGTATTTGCCTAGGGATCACTGGGCCACCTGTAGAAATCTCTAATTCTGAGAAACAAGGCATAAAGTCTATTATACTTTCAGAAGTCAGGAACTAAGCCAAAGTTAGTTTTTAGTTGCTAGTATTGCAGTGTACTGGAAATGGTGTGTATATATCAGTTAAATCAAATCTGATGCTTGAGTTCAGATATCAGATTTGAGTTCTCAATATCTTGAGTTCATTTAATTATATTCCTGATTAGAAAGATAAATGGTCAAATCCAAGAGCAAGAATCACACACACACACACACACACACACACACAACACACAGAGCATCAAATTCTGATTAAGTGTATCTAGCCTTGGGGGTTGGATTGATAAGATATAAAAGGTCTAACAAATGATTAGAGCCGAACTAAAAGTTTGGTGTAGCACTAAAACTAAAGTGCTGATGACTTTAAATTTCCTGAAAAAAAGTAATTGGAGAAGAATTGCCAACATTATCTAATTCAATTCAGAGAGTTGAGTGGTTTCTTATCACTTAACACATTTATTTATGTCTACATTGAGTAAATCTTCCTGAATTAATATGGAGCTATGGATCAAAGATATTCTTGAATATTTCCAATTGAATCCATTCTTTCTTTAGTAGGACATATTCCAGATGCTATTCTGTTTGTACCCATATTTGCTAGGAATTATGTATCTGGACTCAGTTCCATATAAATGTGGTGAGAAGATGGAGCAGCATGCAGCACTTTGTCAGCCAACTGAGAAGGCAATCTTCCCTGGTCAAAGTCTACAGTACAACATTAGTTGTAGCTCCTCCATCTGGCACTGATGTTACAGTACATTTTGTAAAGACTCAGCAAAATTGCAAAATGAATGAGCCAATAATTCTTTTCTTGAAACTCTCATTACTTAAGCGAGTTATCAGTTACTTCTGTATTCATCCATATGCTATTCTAGGACATCACATGACTAACTAAAATGTACAGCCTAAGAGGGACCAGGTCCTTAAACTAGAGTTAATCATAAAAATGGGTCAGAGAATAAAGAAACAGCCCTAATTTCTATCTATTCTAATTGGTTATTTAAGTATGATTAAAAAATAGTATCAACTATTACTACTCTACTTATTACTGACCACACCACGTATGCAGTAGGCATGCCATAACTCATCTGAGCAATGATGCTTCCAAATTACTTATTGGAACAGTTTTCTGGATTGATGAGGACTTGTCCTGTACCTGCACTTGCATAACAAAGACATTATTTTTTCTCACTTTTGTTCAAAAGGCATTATCCAAAAATTGGAAATAAAGCAGAAAGTAGGGCAGCACATTTTTTCACTCCTATAAGATTCATCCAAGAAAATTTAGGAGAATGTACTTTATCCAGACTTAGTAAAGATACATTTTACATGTTAACTATAGAATTTTTCTCTTGTAGGAATACACATAACTTTTGTTTAGTTGAAAAGATAAAGACTATGATTTTTTGCTTTGTAGGATGTTAATCTACAAAGTTATCTATTAGCAAATTCATTTTATTATCCTTTTGAGTGATGGGCCTTCAAAATATTCATTTCCAAATCCTCTCTTTTGAACCAGCCATACCATCTTCCTGATTCTCTTATTACTGACTTGAATAAAATATTTGACAGCGTTCATTCTGGATATACATTAGAGTCATGTTAATCTTTTAAAACTTATAACAGATATGCTGGAGGCATGGCCATTGCTGCTGTTGTTGGGATCGATCAACTTCTGCTTGAGCTGACAGTCCTGCTGAATGCTACTGAAACTGCCACAAATTCTCCTACAATCTAGAGTTGGCAGCTGCTGCTGTTGGGTGTGCCATCAAAGTAGAAAAATAATAGATTTTCTCTTCTTCTCATTTTCCAAGCCCTTAACAGAGCCATTAGAGATTCCTCATGCACAAGATAACCAGGAGTAGGTTAATAAGAGAGTCTGGAAAGTAAAGTTCATAGACTTCTTGCTAACTACAGTATTAGGAAGAACATGAAAAGGGAGGAATAGAGCTGACAGCCAAAAGGTGAATAATTGGCACAAGGGATGAATACAGATGCAAGGGAGCACTAAAAACATCCCTTATATGGTCAATGAGGTACGTATGATTGATTATAAGTTCCATTTTATAGGAAATGTGAGTATAGACAAGTAACTTGCCCACAATCACACAGCTATTATGTGGCAGGACTGGGATTGGATGTAGGCCTCATTCTAAAGATTTCTGCTCACCCATCATGCTATATTGCCTCCCCTGGAAGGTGGAAGACAGACAAGAAGAGCTGTTAGTGCAATATGGAACTAAGCATTGAGGAGTCTAAACATAACTGACGGGGATCCAGGAACCACTGATATTTGGAAGTCTGAGCAAGTAGGTAAAAACATGTGGCCCCTAATGAAGGTAATGAAGGGAAAAAAAATAAGATATAAGGCAAGTTACTAGATAGAGATTTGGGCACAGGAGAATAAGCCAAGAACTCCTTAATAGCCAGGCACAGGATCAAGGTTAGAAAGCCACAAGGGTCTATGTTAAAAGATTTTGTTAACTAATTGAAGTCTGTATTTTAGGGGGTATTATAATTGCACCTTAATTTGGTTTCTCTTCCTGTCATCATTCTGCAGTGATTAAGGACAGGATGAACTCAGATGAATGTTTGCCCTCCCCAAAGAGTTGGAACTAAAGGCCTGCTCACTACTTGCCTGGTTTCTAATATAAGAGAAATGCTTAAGAGAATGAATTTACATTAAAATACAGGGGATTGTCAGTACAGCTGTTTTTTAATTCAACCTAGAATAGGAAAATACTTATCAATGAGATCTCTTATCATTTTTGTCAGTCACATACTCACTGATTAACTTACAAACATAAATTGACCACTAAATTAAATCTTTGGAGTACAAAGATGAATCGAACTCATTCCTTGCCTTCAAAGTGCTTACAGTTCAAAAACTAGTCAAATATGTTTGGGCAGCTATCTTTAATGTAAAGCAAAATTAAGTAAACAAGTAAAGAATTATGGGAGAAGGTAAAATAATGGCTAAAATTCTCAATGAAGGGTGATAGAAGTTCATGGAAGAGGTTGCTTTAGAGCGATTCTTAATTAAAGGATGATCATATTATTTATATGAAACTTGCATCTATTTTCCAAAATTTTATAATATTTTGTAGATACTAGTAAATGTGGATCACCTCCTGTAACAGCTATGTTTATGCTTTTAAAATTTATAGCCCTTGTTCAACACCCATTCAACCCACCCCTACACACATTCACTGTGAAATGATAACAGGAAGAAAAAAACTAATTAAGATGTGGTCTTTTTTTTTTTTTTTTAGACAGAGTCTCACTTTGTTGCCCAGGCTAGAGTGAGTGCCATGGCATCAGCCTAGCTCACAGCAACCTCAAACTCCTGGGCTCAGGCGATCCTCCTGTCTCAGCCTCCCAAGTAACTGGGACTACAGGCATGTGCCACCATGCCTGGCTAATTTTTTGTATATATATTTTTAGTTGTCCAATTAATTTCTTTCTATTTTAATGAGGACGGGGTCTTGCTCAGGCTGGTTTTGAACTCCTGACCTCGAGCAATCCGCCCGCCTTGGCCTCCCAGAGTGCTAGGATTACAGGTGTGAGCCACCGCGCCCAGCCTAAGATGTGGTCTTAAATGTTTATGTACTCAGGAATCTTTTGGCTGAAAGCAATAGAAAACCATATTTAACCTGGCTTAAGCATAAAGGAAACTTATTATCCAAAGTAATTGAAAAATCTAGGGAAGTAGATTTCAGGCCCAGCTGAATCCAGATTCTTAATTACTAACACCAGAAATATTTCTCTCTTGTCTCATCTTGACTTTTCTCTAGCTGGGCTTAATTTCTGAGCACGAAATGGCTACTGCAGTCCCAACTATGGTACCATCCTACTAGGTTAGGAACTCCTATAGAAAGAATGTTTTTCATTCCTCCAGACTCCAGCAAAGTCCCAGAGCCATGCACCCACACTGAACAATCACTGGTTCCAGGGGATCTGACGGCTGCAATGGGCCACGTCTGTCTCATTTTCCCACACCTGGAGTGTTTTCCTCTGAGAATAGGAAAGGAGCAAAAGTCTAAAGGACATGCTCAAAGCTGTTATCAGAAGGAGAAATGGATTATGGGCAGGAAAACACAACAGAAAAGTTATGCTAAGGGACTTGAAAATGTGAGGCATGGAGGCACGACACATTTTTTAAAGTCCTTAGCATGAAATGTGAGAGAGTCCAGTTCACAACATACAACTACAGTGTGGGGAATGGCTGGCTGCCTGCATATCTGACAAAAATGACCTCAGAGGCCACAGTAGATGATGAATTATTTATAAGAAAATGCTGCTCTGGTTGTTTTTATGAGAATGAAAAAAATTATATATTGCCAGATCTAAATACATATTCCCCAAGTGGCTAATTTCCTCATAAGGAGATGAGGGAAAATAATAAAAAGAAATGCTCTCACATATATATGTATACAGATAACCCAAAGACCCACTGTCATTAGAGCATGTAGCTCTTTTTTTTCTTCAATTTAATCCGAATGTGTTCTGCTTGCCCATGGGCAGCAGCTTATTTTCCCAGAATTTTTCCTCTTTCTAGCTCCCTCTCTTGCTTATTCACTATCCTTCCCACTCCCGTTATCGATTCACTAACATGACATTATTTTTGCTGTACAGTATAATGCAGGTGCTTGCTAAGAGAGGATACACTTGCATTTGTCACCTGCCTTATTTGGCTGATTTTGAGTTCTTGCCTCCATCCCCTTGGTTTCAGTCTTGAATGGCTTTCAAACACATTGGTTTCAACACTAGCAGCAGCTTTTTTGTAGGGACTAAGATGCTGAAGCATCTCTCATAAATGAGTGTGCCAGAAACAAGTCTGAAAGATTTTTTAAAATAAGAAAGCCAGCTGTGGGGTAGCATCCGAGATCATCGTTGCCTCAGCATCTCCCCACCCGCCACCACCACGTCATCACACGCTGATTGTGGCTCATTAAGAGTTGGCGTGTTTTCATTCATTATACTGCTCATCACAGTTGAGAATATATAAAATATCATCAATTACCTAAATTAATTATAGAGGAATAACTACACAATGCTTGCATTTGCTCATTCTTTATTTCCATGATTTTCTTTCCAGATACCTGTTATGGAGGTGATGTGGCACTGAATGAGGTAAGATTCCTTACTACATTTTTAACACTTAAATTGCAATGTAACTATGATTCCATGAATTCACATTAAAATCTAGCTTCATGTTTTTCCTCAGGGAACATCTACAACAGTCTCTTGTCCCTCCTAAAGTGTTATGGTGTTTTGGAAAATATATCACAGAATGTTTACTGGAGTAGCATTAATAATTACAAATAAATGTGTCAAACAAATTTTGACTTGTGAACTAATGTCCTTTATTTTTAATCATCTTTCTACATTATGAGTTATAAAATACCCTAATATATAGTAATGTTCCTTAATTATAGATGGCAAGGGGGGTTGATCCAGCATTTTGTATGCTAATATACTTTGACCTCAGTTCTGGTCAGTTCAGGCTTTGCTTTTACCAGGTGGATAGTTTTGGGCAAGTACTAACCTCTCTAAGCCTCAGTTTCCCTATATAAAAAATATAGCTACCAATATTCACTCAGCATATGTGGCAGGGTTGTTCTGAAGATTTACCATAGGAATGTAGAAATAGATTTTGTTAATTTATAAATGACCTATAAGGTTAAATATACAGCTATAGGACATGGTTTAAATCAAGACAATAAACTTCTTAAGGGCAGGGACTTGGTCTATTTTGTTCATCACTGGACATACTACTTGACATAATAGACTCTCAATAAATATTTGTAAATGAAACTGACTGTTCCTGGTCTTCTTAACACTAGACCAGTGTTACGGGTTTAATCGTGTACACCCCCCCACCCCCGGCAAAAGACACATTGAAGTCTTATTTTTTTTGAGACAGAGTCTCACTCTGTTGCCCAGACTAGAGTGCCCTGGTGTCAGCTTAACTCACAGCAACCTCAAACTCCTGGGCTGAAGCAATCCTACTGCCTCAGCCTCCTGAGTTGCTGGGACTACAGGCATGCGCCATTATGCCTGGCTAATTTGAAGTCTTAACTCCTCAAAATGTGACTTAATTTGGAAATAGGGTCTTTGTAGATATAATCAAGTTAAGACGAGGTCATATTGGATTAGAGTGGGTCCTAATCTAATTACTTCTGTCCTTATAAGAAGAGGGAAATTTGGATCCAGAGACAGAGACAGGGCTATGTGAAGACAAAGTTTGGAGCAATGAATCTAAAAGTCAAGGAACACCACGCATTGCTAGCAGCCACCACCATAAGAAGAGGATTCTCCCCTAGAGCCTTTAGGAAGAGCTTGGCCCTACCAACAGTTTGATTTCAGACTTCCAGCCTCCAGTACTGTGAGAGAATAAATTTTTGTTATTTTAAGCCACAGCTTGCAGTTGTTTGTTACGGCAGCCCTGAAAAGTAATACAGCCAGGGTCCCAAACAATGTGGCACATGTGTATGATAGTGTAAAGGATCACTATTTGATCTCAGTATTTTTACATAAAAATTTTATTTTAGAAAGAATTTGATTTACCTTAATGTAATATGAATGAATAGAACAATCTGTTATGACAGAGGTTTCTTTATTGTTGTAAAGAAAAATATCAATATCTATTAAGCATTCTTAGCAATCAGTCTATCTTAGGCAATATAATTTTAAGCCCACATAACTGTCTAAATCATCTTCTGTTTTCACCTAAACATCTGTTTTCATCTAAACCATCACTTTCATCTAAGCCTTTGTCAACATATGCTCCTTAAATGACAATAGGCCTACAACATTATCTAATTCTCAAAAGATAAATGGTCAATCATTGCATAAGTCATATTTTCAGATATCTGCCCTTTCTAAAAATAAATATTTGTCTTTGCCATATGCTACTTTCTGGTCACAGTCGGTTATTTGCATAACTTGGATAATTAAGAGCTGCTTGCCTGTAGACTTTAAACCTGATATGCCAACAAACTATCCCCAAAAACTTAGTGAGCACATAGAGATTTGAAGACTAGAGTAGACTTCAGAGAGAGAGAGATTACTTTTGCCCAGAGATTTTTGTGGGGCAGTATGATTTATGTTGTGAACATCATTAATCATAAATGGTGAAATTTGATTGTTAAGGCAACTTTAAGCTCTATATCAACAATTTTGCTATCAATGTTATCTGGATACAAACTTACCCCTTTTTCTCAATTATAAAAAGTGTACTCGTGATTCACAAGTCATGCTTATCAGGTACTCCCTACTTTTCAATTCAGTCTTTCAAATAGGAGCACATATTTTATATTAGAAAATCCCCAACTGACAGTTTTCTCTTTGCAAGGGTACTTCTGAATTATTGGAAAAGTATAAAAAGTTCTCCATGGGTTCATCATAGAACAGAATTTACTGAAACTTCTTCTATCTGGGTATCCAATTAATATTCAAGGACATTTCAAATATGCCAAGATTTGTCATGAATTATGCATTGTTTTAGATTTCTATAATCTCCTTACTTTCTTTGAAATATGAGCTATAAATCTTGCCTGGATCTCTCTAGCTTCTGATATAAGATTTTTATTTGAATCATTTTTGTGTTCTAGCTTTTTACAGGAAGTAAACAAAGTATGATGATTTGCTAAAATTAGAGTGAAGCTTTTTAAAAATCTCAGAATGTCTTAAGTCACACAAAGTTGTTCTTGTTGTTGTTCTTCTCTATGAATGTAAGTTCCAATATTGTATAATGGCATTTTTATTTTTTATTTTTTTTGCACAGGATTGTCATGGTCTATTCAAATATATTAATTTTCATTTTGTGAGACTCTTTTGCTAAGAAAAACAACAATCCCAGAACAATCTTAAGGCTGACTCAAGTAACTCTCCCCATTGAAAATATAGCATATTATTACATTTTTGTCCCAACAAACATCCAATAATGGTAAGGCTTTCTTTTTCATGTTATTTTCAAATCATCTGTTTACCTCTGCCTGAAACTCTACCTAGATGGTACATTTGTGCAAGGTACTCCAATAAAAAAAGGAAGCAAGGACCATGTCAGATCAGGTGGGAGGAGAACTTTATAATTTATTAATATATGAGTATTGTTCTCTTATTTAAAAAAAGCATTGCCTTAATAATATTTTCTGCAATGTTATCATTCAAAGAAACACTTGCAACCTCCATATTTTGGCAAGGGAACTATTTTTAAAAATGTGTTTATCTGGGAATCTGTTTGAAGAGCATTTCCAATATTACAAGTTTTACTTTTTGTTCTGTCTAATCAATGATGAAATAGATGAACCTCTGCTTCATTCTTTCATTTTGAAATCATACCAATAGATCAAAGAAATGAGAGACATTTTGATTAAACCATTGCTTTGTCTAAAAAAGATAATACTACTGATAAAGTGTTTTTTGAAAATCATTAGAATTTAGCAAACTGGATTTTTAAAAATTATAGATTTGGATGTAGGAAAAAAACCTCAACTCATTTGATCACAAAGATAATTGTGAGAAATATATCATGCAGATGGATTTTTGTGAGACATTTTGTTTTGCTTATAAGCACTTTTCCATTAAATTGATTGTCTATCCTTAAGTCACCTCTGTTCCACCAATTTTATTGCTTTCCTAGAGAATATCACCATTTATCTAAAACTTTAACTGCTTACAGGCAAAAAGACATAGTAGATCCAAAGTCAAATTTATCTCATCTATCTCCTAAATGTCAACCAAATCCTGCAGGCGTACACTTCTAGCAAGAGGTGAGGTGGTGCTCTCCTTCCGCCTCTTCTCTCCACCTCTTTATTCGGCCTGATCCTATGTCAAGAGAAATTTCCCTTTCTTATCTCTTTCTTGCCTTGGTGTTTCTCTTGGCTGTTACTCTTCCCCATTTTGACATTTTCTCACCTTTAGACAAAGACTCCCAGACTCAGAGAGGTTTAAGTAACTTGCCCCAAATTGCACAACTAGTAAGTGTTGACATCATTCTGCCTGATATCCAAACCCTTACTCTTTCTCTTTCAAGAACTTTTCCAGAAAGAGTGATTTCACATACACTTGTGTGTATGTTTCAGGACAGTACTTCTCAAACTTTCACGTGCATAAAAACGACCTAGGAACCTTGTTAAAATGCAGACACTGATCAGGAGACCAGGCCTGGGGTGGGGCCTGAGATTCTGTATTTCTAACGGACTTCCAGGTACCACTGAGGTTGCCATGCTTTCAGTAGCAAGGCTTTACAAAACCTGGGGAAGAAGGCTGGAGGTTGTTTGTAGACCTACTATCTAATTTTGTTCACTACTTCTTCTTCACAGTGTATATTATCTTATTCCTTCTCAAATATTTTTAAATGATGATCAGAGAAAATCTAATATTTTGGATTCATTGTTACGGTAAAACAAATGAGACTGAAATAAAGAAATTAATATTCAGGATTATTAGCTAATCTGCCAGTCCTTTGCAATGGAGTGGGTGGGGCCATCATGAGTAAAAAAGGGGCTGAATATGATCTACAGGCCATTTGTCAAAGGGGACAAGAAGGCCCAGCAGACAGTTTTGAGGAAACGCTGTCACAAGGAAAATAATCAGCAGCCTTGAAGGAGATGTGGATTGCCATAGGGCAGATTGAAGAGCAAGTAGGGTAAGGGCTGTTCTGGAAGAAGCATGAGGAAGGTAAGAGTGAGGAAAAGAGCTTCAAGAACAAGACAAACTTGGGTTGGAATCTTGGCTTTGCCACTCATGCTGAGTGGATGACTTTGGGCAAATCCCTTATTCTCAATGAATTTAGTTTTCCTTCCGCCTTCCCTGTTTTTTTTTTTTTTTTTTTTTACTTAGAGAAAGATATTTATTATATACAGCATACATTATTTCACTTACAAAGGTTTATTCTTTAAAATGATTTAAATTAGGTTTTATTCACATTAGGTTTTATAAGCATATTCTCTATTTGTTTTTAAATTTTGTTTCACAGTTGAAGTTTAGCATGACCTTCTTTTTTTCCACTTTTTTATTTCAAAATATTAAGGGGATACAAATGTTTTTGTTACAAGGATAGCTTTTATAATGCTTTAGTCAGGACTACAAGTGTGCCCATCACCTGAATAGTGCCCATTGTACCTGTTAGGTAGATTTTTACCCATTTCCCCTCCCCCAACTTTTTGATTTCCAATGATACTTACTTCTTCCTGTGCCCATCTGTGCCCATCAACTAGTTCCAAATTATCAGAGACCACACGTGGTGTTTGTTTTTCCATTCTTGAGATACTTTGCTTAGGATAATGGTCTTTAGTTCCATCC